ACAGAGACAGAGAGAGAGAGAGAGACAGAGAAAGGAGCCCAGAGAGAGAGACAGAGAGAGACAGAGACAGAGACAGAGAGAGAGAGAGAGAGAGAGAAAGGAGCCCAGAGAGAGAGACAGAGAGAGACAGAGACAGAGACAGAGAGAGAGAGAGAGAGAGAGAAAGGAGCCCAGAGAGAGAGACAGAGAGAGACAGAGACAGAGAGAGAGAGAGAGAGAGAGAAAGGAGCCCAGAGAGCACAACTCAGAGCGTCAGGACAGAGGGCAGGCGGTAGCGAGGGAAGCCACCGGCCTCCAGGCACAGTGCACACCCCAGTGTGACCTCAGAGTGAACCGATGGCCTCCCCGCAGGTGCTGGGACGGCACCGTGAGGATCGGATCCCAGCTGCGTCACAAACGGTTCAGGATGAAAATAGAGGGTGGGAGGGGCCAACTGACATGACTGCTCATCCACTGGGGATGCCTTACATTCCTCTGCAAGCGTATCGTCTGTCTGTGTCTCGCAGACGCACGCACACATGCTCAACCAGCCTCACACACAGGGCCCCTGGCACAGGAGGAATTAACCAGTCAAGCTGGCAGCCGTCCCACATTCAGTGTAACTACGGCAACGAGGCTGTACAGACTAGACCGTTTAACCCACCTTGATGAGCAGGCCTCAGTCTCCAGTCTCAGGTGGCTCGATGTGGGTGTTCAGGCCCATCCCCTCCCCCCAAACATCTAAACCAGGCTGATACTCGTGAAGCGCGAATGCCTACCAGAATGGTTTAAAGGCATCTCATGCCCGTTTCTAAAGGCATTTGATCCTTCCCTCTCGCTGTTGCGCTTAGCACACAAGGTTTAAGTCTCTGATCTTCACTAAGCAGCGTGTGCGTGCGTTTAATACAACATGAACGGAGCGCTGCCATAATGAAATGCAAGCCAAGGTAAAAGGTACAGGGGGGGGGGGAAGCACTATTACACCATCTGATTAATTGAAAGGAAAAAATAGGGGCATCCAATTACTTTATGAGGCCCTGTGATGTAAATAATATAAGGCACGGATGAAGTATTATGGTAATTAAAACTTAATAGGTCTTTCTCTAAAACCAGAGGACACCTTGGGGAAATGGCTCATTCAACTACTAAATTAAACTCGTACATCACACCCCCACCCACTAAAAAAAAAAGGAAATAGATAGATAAATAAATAGTAGAGAATAGTGAAAGTGGTGAAGTGAGAAGCTACTAGTCGGGCTGCGGTGCCGGCAGTCGGACAGTGCTTGAGCACACAGGCTGCTCACGGAGACCGTTTCCATGGTGCGGGTAACCGCTTTAAATCAAACCCCCAATAAAATAGACATGTCCCCACCTCGCCGTTCACCCCGGGGCTTTGGCACGTCAGGCGCTACTAAATTTACCTTCTCCCTCCTGCTCTAAATCCCAACAAACGCTAACGGCTGCGCGTGTGGGCTGCGCGTGCGGGCTGCGCCGTGCTCCACGGGCGCACTGGTGAGCGACGCATGCATGGGGCGAGGCCGCACACACGTGACTGCAGGTCCCACTTCAGGTTTTCTGGCATCTCACAGAGGGTGACCAGACAGCCTGATCACATTATTATAATGGTCTGGTAACGCATTCAATGCAAGGCACTGTTTCCCCATTCATTAGTATACACGCAAAAGTCACATGGTAAAAAGACGGGTTTTTACCGTTGCGGGCCAGATGAATAGCGAATGCCTGCCCAGAAAGGGCAAAGGTCAACTGGGAGGAAGAGTCAATTTTAACGGCAAAGGTTTAATTTCGAAGGGGGGATAATGCAAACACAACTATACTGATGAGCCAATCGGAGGACCGGCCAAATATCCAGTGTTTACGATCAGGTCACCTGTGACGTAGCCCAGAGTGTACGCCCAGGGACCACAATGAATAAATCTTAATAGAGATACAGTGTAAGGATGCCGCTTTGCCTTCAGAGCCCCACATATAACGAATCACTTTCATTG